TTTTGCACTGAACATCCAATTTGCTACACTTAATAAACCTTTTACCTCATTTCCATAAGACAACAAATGATTGCAATGCTGAGCAAAACTTATAACCTTTACAACATAAATTAACCTGTATATGAAATATCTTGTATAGCATAAAGAACCAGATGGCAAACTTTGACAGTGATTAATGAGATGGTAAGAGTGCTAGCTAAGTGACTTTTGGGTGGCCCAGATAAAAGAGAAGATGTGATAAAAATTTAATTGGCAATGTGGAAATTGTAAAAATTTTTGACCGATGGGAAAGGAAAATTTTGTAAACAAAAAATTCTAGATTATAATTTTAAGGAGCCCAGCTTAGCCACATCCACACTGCCGAGATATCATTGGTCGTATGGTAGCATGGTGATGGGTGGAGGTGAATGGATGAGAAAGGTGGAGAAGATGTTAACGCCCACTGAAGGGATTGGTACGAGATATCAATGTGAGAGAAAGAGCCTAGGAGGATAGCTCTCCTCCGACCTTCCCTCATGAATGATGGAGCCCCCCCCCCCGGAAATGGGAAGTGGTTAATTTTCCAAAAATGGGAAATAATCAATTTTCCTATCCTGATAACAAAGAGATTTCTTGTTAGAAATAGAGATTACCGAGAACCCCAGGCTGCGTCGGGCCCCCACACTGGGTTTTGGTCGGTACCCACATAAACAAACAACGATGGGTTGTTCAGCAGTTAAGAAAAGTTGCAGTTCAGCTCTGGACAGAGTCAGAGACAGTTCGAGTAGCAGGAACCAGAGTGTTGCCTCACAGAAGCTGACCGAGAGATTCCACGACCTCTGACTTCGCCTAACCTTACCCATAGCAAGTTATACTGACGAACAAAGTTAAGCCAGCACTTAAAAACTAAATCTGTTGACTTAGAGGACTAATTTGCAATTTGCTTGAAACACAGAAGTATCACATTTCATAGGAGACGGGGTGGGAGAAAAACACGCTCCTGTATATAACAGAAGGATAAAGTTGAATTGTTATTTCCTAACATACTTGAACCTCTTGGGTTTTTCTTTTATTTATTTTTTTTCTTTGTGCTTGTGTGGTGCCACCTTCAATTTGGACTCAGTTTGCTCTATGGCCAGACGCCTGATTGATCTCGTCTACCTAAGATCAAAGTCACAACGTGGGTAGGTTAGACTCAAGATCAAAGCAGTGACTCCAGTAACCAGATGTTGCAAGTGAGCTGGGAATGGTAGAGTTGGCATTGAAACGGTACAGCTGGTGAAGCCGTTAACATCGACGGTCGGAATTCGACCCTGGTGCCACACATTGGTACCGTAACCACTGGATTCGAGCCTGGATGGCTGAGTATCACATATTGGTATCCTGACCAGGGGATTTCGCTGAGTATCGACGACCACCAAACGACTGGGACACAGGCTGGTGGCAGCGACAAAGAGTCAACCCCAAAATGCTGGTAGAAGAAACCTTACAGTTTCATGCCACAACTGGGAGTTGACCACGGGCCAACAGCTTGGTGTCTCATTATTAATAACTGCATTGTTTCTTTCCAAGTACGGGGGTGGGCTGAAAAATTCATAGGCTGACTATGAAGGAGTGATGCAATACAAACTAAGACCCTTATCTCATTCCTGTTCCCTTCTCTCTTCCTTTGCCTGTAACTTCTCATTCTTTTCCTTATCCCTTCCAATACAACTAATCATTATCTCATTCCTCTTTTTTTCTCTATTTGCCTGTATCTTCTCATTCTTTCCCTTACCCGTTCTATACAAACTAAGACCCTTTTCTCATTCTGCCCCTCTCTTCCTTTACCTGTATCTTCTCATTCTTTCCCTTATCCCTTCCAATACAATTAAGATCATTATCTCATTCCTCTGTTTTTCTCTATTTGCCTGTATCTTCTCATTCTCTCCCTTATCCGTTCTATACAAACTAAGACCCTTTTCTCATTCCTCTTTGCACCCCTCTCTTCCTTTACCTGTATCTTCTCATTCTTTCCCTTATCCCTTCCAATACAACTAAGATCATTATCATTCCTCTGCTTTTCTTTCTCCATTTGACTGTATCTTCTTTCCCTTATCTCTTCCAATATAACTAAAATCATTATCTCATTCCTCTCCCTTTCTCTCCCCCATTACCTGTATCTTCTCATTCTTTCCCTTATCCCTTCCAGTACAACTAAGACCATTATCTCATTCCTCTGACCTTTTCTTTCCCTTTGCCTGTATCTTCTTATTCTTTCCCTTACCCAAACTAAGATCCTTTATTATCTATTGTCACATTCCTATGCTTTTCTCACTATTGGTTGAAACTACATGGATCTTTATTGATTAGTCAGGAAGTATTTTATGTCTTAATTTTTCTTTTTAGCATTGAAAGTTGAGCTAGCCTAAAATTAAGCTAGTTTTTATTATTTGAACAGTGGCTGTTGAAGTGAGTACTTCCATTTTTGTTGAAGAGTGGGATTTCCAACAGGCTACAACAAGTGTTAATGATATTTCTATCAAACTTAGTAACATTAAATTTTGTTGGGATATCTACTACAGAAACATTTTAGTAGAATGTTGTTTATCAAGTATAGATTTGTTTGGCACAAAGTCACAAGGCACTCAATAAAGATTGAACTTCAAACATGAATAAACACAATAAAAGGATCGGGGGAGGGGGTGGAGAAGAGAGGATATCAATTTCTTATTCTGAGTATTATGAAAGATACAAATGAAAAAAACTCTTTCTCCAGTGTGAAACTTCAAAGAAATCTACATTTTTTTAAATGGAATAAAAATAGTAATAGCACAGAATATGAAATTCACAAAATAAAGTTACACAAAATGTTCCTTTGTGTGCCAAACAATTGGGCAAGATAACTTCTAATTACAATTCTGTTAGGTTCATAAAAACAATTCTAACTATTATCAACAAAATGTTCTCTTACTTTGATTCATTCAACTGTCAAAGGAGTTGAGAAGGAAGGCAAATTCCCAGGGGTTGTTGGGTTTATGGTTTGTTTAGATAAGTTCAGTTTGTCTGATTTGAGATAAATCTTGTATTTCATAAAATATTCAAAATCAGAGTTAATATGTGGGGTTCAGCGTACCCGGATTAAAGGAGAATTTAATACGGGATACCCTGCCCACAAAATACAACGCAAATTTCAAGAAGAAACAACACGATAAGGAACGTTTATAAAAAATAGAACATTGTATATTTATTATCTTGTGAATAGGGTAAAAAAGATTAATGTTTTAGTTCGTTTAAACAAAATTGTGATTTTGATGAAAATGTCTGTGTTCGTTGTCTTTTTAACAGAGTAGCTGAATAATGTCTGTTTCTTTTGTTTTGTATAGTTGTAAAATGAAAAAGGGGCGAGCAATTTAAGTTGAAAAAGAGTGTGAATAAGGAATAAAGATAAAAGGAAAATGTACTTATGAATTGTTTTGGAGTCAGTTGTAAATTTGTTGTTGTTGTTGTTCCTTCCTACTCCACTTTTCGGGTTGAGTCAGTGATGGAATTTACTGTCAATCTTCTGTGATCTTTTGCGCCCTTCTCTGACTGACTGACTGGCAACTGACTTGAAAACTCTGTATTCATTGTTGACTTTTTTTTCACACTGGCTCGTTATCTTTTTTTTTGGTTTAGCAAATCACCTCCTTTCATTGGTCAGAAAATTAATTTCACACCTTATTGTGAAATCTTTTTTTTGGTCGTTTTGATCCGATTTTGCGGGTGTGCAAATCTACTTTGTGTTTTTTTAGTCAATTGTTGGAATATAGGATTTGGATCCTATAAATACCTCTAACTTTGTGAAAATCTTTAACAAGATAATCTTATATCTCTCTAAATTTTTAGATCTTTCTGCTTTTATTTCTTTCAGCTTTTCTTTTTCTTCTGTTACTTTCTTTTCATTGTTAGCAAAAGCATCGATCGACTTTTCATTGTTAGCAAAAGCATCGATCGACTTTTTCTAGTTCTTATTTCTGATCATCATAGTTGTTATCAGCGACGTTCTTGTGAATGCCAAACGAAAACCCTTCAGCTTTTTGCTCTCTTAGCAGCTGCCAATGACTTTTTCATGAGGTCGCCAAGTCCTTTCTGCTCTTTTTTCTTTTTCTTTTTTTTACAAATTTAGAAAACAAATTTTATACATGTATCTTTTTGTATCACTATTTCAGTCTTTTTTTTTATTTAAAGATTATGTTTTAGTAACTTTCTTCTTTTAATAAATGTTTTTGTAAAACACTTCCCTCAAAAGAAAGTCTAATAAACAAACTTACTCTCTAGTGAGTCTATTGTATTAATTTTATTTACCATTATTTTTATATAGTCTTTCTTTACATTTCCTTTTTATTATGTAATTTTTTTATAAAAACACAACCTAAAAATGTTTTTTAAAACTCTGAAAGTCAAAAATTAGAAATTTTTATTTTTTAGTTTATTTAAATTTAATAAACCCCCTTATGTTGACAGTTTGTATTGGTAGAGTGGGAAAAATCAGTTGTCTAAATATACAAAACACTGAACTTTGATTCGCACCTAGTCACATGACTTTTGATATGGTCACATGATCACAATTATTAGTTATGGCCGCGCGAATGCAAGCACGTTTCTCTTGTTATTGCTTTGTTTATATTTTATGTTTAATCAATTCTCTTGCTTCTGGTGATCTCATGCGATGGTATTCACCCAGAAGTAAAGAAAGCAACGAAATTCTACCAATACCCGATGAAAATCAGGATTATTTAAAGGAATATGACTCTGAAAAATTGTATGAAACAAGTACAAATGGCATTAAACAACAACAACATAGTCCTTGGAGACGTCGTGTAGCGGAAAAAAATTTCGTCTACTTCAATCAAATCCCAAATCGATTTGTCTCATTAGTAGACGATAAAGAAGTTGTTAATTTTAAGCCGGGTGACTCCGCTGCCCCTTTTGTTTTAAACACGCTCCGCGGTAAACTAGAGTTTCCACTTCCTCCTTTGAAAAACACTTCAGTGTTGTTTATGGTTTATAATAAACATTCCGCCTTTTTGGAAACTCTTTGGAATTCTAACGAAGCCTTGAAACCTTTTATTTTGGACACTACACCAAATGTTAATTATGTGTTTATCCCAACGGACGACAATGCTGTAGACGAGGCAAAATGGTTACAAAGTAGGATAAGGTAAAAAAAAAGTTAAATTTAATTTATTAAAAAAAATGAACTAACACAACTTTTTTTGTAGTTACTGATTGTTGATTTTTTCACTGCGTGTAAAATCTTGATATCGTTGAATTCCCCCCCCCCAAGCCATTATTAAAATAAATATTAGTAGATTCATACGTGATATTTTTTGTCAATAAATTTCAAGTTTCATAGCATGTTTTTTTTTTTTTTTTTTTTTTTTTTGCTTTCATTTAGGAAAAAAATGTATTACTTGGTGGGCACTTTACTTTTCAGTTTTCATATTTTTTACTTGTTTTTCCTTGAGTACTATTTCAGTTGTATTTTTTAAGTTGTGAATCTAGTTTATTTGATATTACGTCCGAAAATCTATTGCTTTGTGAATTATGATCAATTTTATTATTTGATTTCAAATCTTGTCAGAGGATATATTTTTGCGAGTTCATTTTTCTTAGTCGTTGAAGTTATTTATCGACCTGGGATGTTATAAAAAATAAGCAGCAATGATCAGATAGTTACCTTCGTTGAAGTTTTGGGTAAAATTAAAATCCTAGTTTACTTTAAATATGTTAAAAATAAAATTTAATAAATGTTTTTATTTTAGGACACTGGCGAAAAGTAATTTTCATTATTTAAAAAAAAAAATTCCAAACTGAATCAAACCAATTTAACTTTTTCATAAAAAATCGTAACTCGCAATCATAATTCAGAAAAGTGGTTTAAATTATTAACAAAAGAACATAATTTTCATGAAAATTATACTTGTTTTGTCAAGAAGTGTACAGTATATCTAAGAACCTGATGATTTTTCATAATTACTGCGTGATTAAACTAGGTTTTATTTTATCAAACATTTTTCTATTATTTCTCTGTTGCTATTGATTGGGTTTTAAAACCATTTTTTTTTTAATCTTACAGCTGGTTACTTACTGGTTTGTTTTTCTCATCTGCTTTAGGTCCCAAACATCCACTGACATTTGGGAGAAAATTGAAAATAAATTTCATTTTGTTGTTCAACCCGTTTTTCAGTTGGGGAATTGGCTTCCTGCTTGTCTCAAAGAGTGGAGATGTGTGGACCATGGCTGCGGCCTCAACCAAGTTTTAATTCATTCAAACAGTAATTACCAATCTTTTCAAATTTATATAAACATTTTTAAATTTCTGTTTTTAAAATGCAATGTACCTTATGCATAGATGTGATCATAGCCATTTTTTTTTTCTATTTTTAATTGCCATGGTGTTTTTTTTCTTAAGATGAAAAAAAAAAAACTTACTCGTCTGATTTCTCTTTTCATTTTATTTTGCATGAATACTTTTTAAGTCGTCTTTCATTTATTGCAAAATTTTTCAACACATGTTGACTCTTTTTGTGTATGTGTATATACACTGTACACCTCTGCACCTCTAAATTTCTCTCTATCATTCAAGGCTTAAAAATTTAATTCTGCCCTTGACAAAGAGGAGATTTATCTCAAAGGCTCTCAACTTGAAATTATTTTTGTTTCTGCTCTTATTTATTTTGTTTTTGGAGAATAGAATGTAGCAAAAGGAAAAAATCACTTGGGTTGGGGAAAAGTCAAAGATTTATCTTGTTTTTATAAAAAAAAATGCAACTCTTTTTTTTTTTTTTTTTTTTACCAAGTAAATTTTTAAACGGATGTATGACAGAAAATATTATTAATGTAATTGTAATGTATTACTTGAGTTATTTTTTTTATTTTTTAAGTGCCTAATCAAAGTTCTTAAATTTTTAAAAAATCCGAAATTAATACAGCATCTTTGAAAATATTGCGTTGGATAAAAATTAAAAATTTGGTTAAAAATAAAAATCAATAAAAATTTCTTTCATTGCTCATACATTGTTTTTTGCATTGATGCAGTTATTCAGGAAGAATATTTCTATTTTCATAAACGTATATAATAATAGAAGAACACATATATGAAATATTCCTAGTCCAAATTGGTTCTTTAGAGTTCTCTGTTCTATATAATTTCAGGAGCAATATTTGATCTGCTCCCCAGTGAGAGTTAGCCACAACCCTTAGAAATGCTTCAAAGCATTAAAATACTATTTTATGTATTTTAAGTGGGGGATGAAAAGAAGTTTTTTTTTTATCAAAAATGATTCCCAGAAATTTATGTTGGTCAGTAATTTCAATTTCTGTTCCTTCAAGAGTTAGATCATTGTGGATTTCTTTCAGATTATAGAAATGAATACAGTTTGTTTTGGTTGTGGAGAATTTGAATGTTTTCGATAACTTATCAATTGAATTTATATAGGCACACTTGCAGTTGTCATTTTTCAGTATGGAACAGATCTAAAAGGTCTTCTACATATAATGATCCATCAACTCCTCAATTTAAGCAATTAACAATAATGTCAATTCTTATGTTGAAAAGAGAGACGGTATGCAACCTTGTGGAACTCCTTCTTTTTGGATTTTGAGGTCCAAGAGATTGGATCCTACCTGAATTTGAAACTTCTATCTGATAAGTTATTTATCAAATTAGGCAATCTGCCCTTTAATCCAAGATTGTATAGGTCCTTCATTATTCTATGTTTCCATGTTGTCTCATAGGCTTTTTCTAGATCAAAGAAAATGTCTATTGCGTGTTCTTTTTTAATAAAAACCTCTCTAATGAATGTTTCTAGGCAGACTATGTTGTCTATCCACCTTTTTGTTTTAGAATCCACTCTGGAGGTTGGTAATTAAACCATTAGTTTCAAGGTACCAGTTCAGTCTTTTATTCACTATTCTTTCTAGGGATTTGTATAGGCAACTTGTTAATGTTATGGGTCATAATTTTTAGGGGATTGATTTCTCTTTATCTGATTTTGGTATAGGGATCACAGTAGCTTGTTTCCAGCTATTTGTGAGTTTGCTCTTAAACCATGTATTGTTAAAGATGTTTTAAGGATTTTGTTTAAGAAATTTATAATGAATTTCATCTGAGCAGTAGCTGTATTATGTGATTCACTTATGGAATCTATAAACTCATTTAGGGTAAAAAATTTGGTTGTAATCTTTGTTATTCAAGTTAAATTTCAGCTTATTTTTTTTTACTGCATCTTGTTTAACTTTTTGGAATTGCTGTTTGTAATTTTTGCTGGAGGAAATTTGTTTAAAGGTTTCTGTGAGTAGATTTGGTATATCCTTTTTGCTATGTTATTTTGAGAAACATGATTTAGAGGAGGTGATAGATTTTTGCCAGCAATTTTCCTTATCATATTCCAGATTTTTTTTTTTGCTTTGATATGGGAGTTTATTTTATTTATGTAATCTCTCCATCATTTTCTTTGATGGTTCTGCATGTTATTGCTTTATTTAGTTTGAATAAATTGAAATTATGGGTTCTAGGTTGGGTATTAAATTTTTGTACTGCTGCTCTACATAATCTTATTGCCTTTTTGCAATCTTCATTGAACCATGGTCTCTGATGTTTATTTGATTTAGTGCTTTTTGGTATACATTTTCTTGCAATTGCTATTAATGTTTCAGAGAAATATGCAATAGTTTTTTTTGTTGTCTTTGTTAGTTTTTGACAGAATTGGTTTTTCTATTCCCTCCAGTCTGCTTTGTTTAGTTTCCATCGAGGGAGATTGTTTTCAATCAGTTCTGAATTCTTCAGTATAATTGGGTAGTGACCACTGCTGCTTGAATCATTGTGGACTTGCCAACTATAATTCATAAAAATAGAGGCGGGGGGGGGGTGTCACACAGTGATAGACCAATAGCTAAGTACATACCTGATGCAGGGTATAGATATGTAGATTTATCATTTAGGAAACAAGTCATTGTTATATTTTCCAGGTTTTTCCCCTTTTTGTCTGCGTTCTTGGATCTCTATATAACATTGTGACTGTTAAAGTCACCTAATAATATGAATGGTTTTGGTAGTTGTTCTATTAGTTTATTTAGTTCGGTTTCTTTTATGGAGTCATGAGGTGGGATGTAAAGATGTTAACGGTTTTATGTAGGGTAGTTTTTGTAGCAACTACTTATAGAGTTGTTTGTAGAAGTATTTTGCTTGGGTGGGTGGGTAGTTGTCATTTCTGATTAGGATTAATATGCCCCCAGATACCCTCTGTTAAGGGTCATGTATGCAGTTATATTGAATATAGTTTTTAATTTTTATTTTATCATTTGGTTTTAGGAATATTTCTTGAAATTAAATGATGGCGATAAGTTTATTCATTATGTGTAGGAGTAGTTTATTTATGCTTGCTTTTAGGCCTCAGTAATTCCACTGTATAATTTTTTGTATCATGTTTATGTATTAGGGTGTTGTTATGAGTTTTTGCTTGTCTGGTTTATGTTTAGTCGGTGAAGTGTCCATAATTTCTATGCTTTCTGGTCTGTTTGTGGATTATGATTTTTGTTGGTAGTTTAAAGGTGTTTATTTTTTTTTTCCACTAGATTGTTTGTATGGAAAAACTATTATTATTATTATTTTTCCTGAAGGTATTATCCTAGGTATAAATGGATAGGTTGGAGGCTTATTGTATAAGCTGACAGCATGTAGGTGAGTTTTCCCCATACAAATAATTAGTTTCAAATCCATCTTGCTTCTTATACTATACCTGGTAGTAGTTTAATGTCCTACCCAGGTGAACCTGTTTTGTGAAAAAAACCCAAAAAACATTGAAGCATTTTAGCTTCAAGCCCATGATGTGAATGCATTTTAGCATTGTGCTCAGGATACAAATGCATTTTAACGTCATGCCCAGACTTTGTCTAAAGTCTATTACATTTTCTGCATTGTACATAGTACATATACAGTAGAACCCCTCATATCCGGAGTGATTTTGAGCTATTTGGGTGATATGTAACTGATTTGAAATTTCTGTTTTCCAGGAAATTTACTTTGGATAATTGCTTATGACTACTTCATCTTAATGGCTTGTATTGGTGCAAAAGATGATGGGAATAAGAGGAAAAGAACAATTTTGGAAATATTGCAAAAAGTGGAAATTTTAAACGGACTAGACTTTGTAAACAATTCCTCATATCCGGAAGGTCTTCTTAGTCTGGTTGTCAGGGATTTTACTGTATTTGCATTTATCATGGCAGTACTTTAAAAGGTTTCAATTTTTAAGTAATATATTAATTTTTTTTTTGTGCCTGTATTTTGAGAAGTTCTGATTGATAATTAAGTAATTTGTGTTTGTTTAGGTGGGTGAGGTTATCTATTTTCTCCTTCAGACAAAATTTACAATTTTTGAATTTATTACTGTAGGCTGATGCTGTTTTCCTTATTTTCTATGATATTTTTGCTCTAATTTGGTTTTTGTTTTTAATTTCCCAAAAATGTTTAGAAGTCCAAATGTAGATAGTGTATGTAATATACCCTTTGAACTTTTTGACATTTATCAATTGTTTCTGTTCCATGCTCCACAAATCATTTTCTATAGAGTTTGATTTCTGTCTGAATTTCTGGGATGAGAAGTTATCATTGTTTACACTATATTTGGACTATTGTATTTATCTTTGTTGTTAACAATGATGATGACAATAGTCCAAATATATTGTAAATAAAGTTTTATTTGTTAATAGAAAATTTTTCTTTTTATCTCATTTTGTTTTACTTCTATATTTTAAATGTGTCAGCTATTTTATATCTGATATTCTTTTTATCTATCTGCTTTGAACAAATGTGTGTAGTGAATTTCATAGACACTATTTTGATATTTGTACATAGATGTATTCAACCACAAGATCATTAATCGTCTGAGAGACCCCAATCTGCCTTCCATCAACATGGCTGATGCTAACCTCTAGAAAAGTGATTTGTTGCACCTTTTCAGACTAATGTTCTCAGATGACTTGAAGTGGAAAGACTATATTGAATCCATTGCTAGGTCAGCTGCTAAGAAACTTGGTTCACTGTTTCTTTTGAGATAATTTTTCTCTCCAGAATCTATCTTACATATCTATAAATCTACCATTTGGCCATGCTTAGAATATTGCTGCCACATATGGTCTGGTGCCACTACTATTTACCTTAAGCTCCTTGATAAAATCTAAAGAAGAATCAGCAATATTATCAGTCCTGATCTAGCATCTTGGCTTCAGTCACTTTCCCACAGCCATAAAATTGCCTCCCTTTGCCTTTTCT